AAATAATAGGAAAATTGCTGTATATTTTAAGTGGTATTCAGAAACAATTCTTTAATAGTACTTAAAATTTTCTACTTTTTAAAAAAAAATCCTCACCTTTAAAAAAAGTCCTATAAAACATACCTATATATTACTGTTGATGAGAGTTTGTATCTTGTTTTTTCTGGTGATATTAACCACCATTATTGAAGTTGTTGGTATTCAGATACTTAATATCCTCTTGAGTGATTAATGTTTTTTCTTTGTATCATTCACATGTCTTGTTGTTTTTATACATACCTTTATTGTTTCAAAAATTATTTTAAATTTGTTTTTAAATGCACCACTGGCTTTGTCTACTAGTTAATTACTTCTCTGAAGATTAATTAAAGGACAGAAATACCATTCTTGGTTAAATAGAAGACAGACAAAGACATTAGGTAGCTATTGCTTCCCCTTTTCTGAAACTTTGCTCTGTCATAAGGTTGCCTTTGGGGAGTTGTGGCTTTGTCAGTTAACCGTGGTTAAGCCTTGGTTACACTTTGATAACTATACTTTTAAACGCTTAATTTTACAGCAGTCACTCATCTGAATCTTCATCAAAGTGAAATGTTTTGTTTTAAAGGATTCAGGTGTTTTGCTTTTGAAAAAATTTTTACAAGTCGGGGAAAACTGCAAAGTATAATGAGTATGAAATAAACTACCAGTGATTTTGATTGGGTACAGACAAGCCCATACATGCATGTTCCAAGAGAATATATTACTGGACCTGTTTAGCCTGTGATAATGACCTTTCTTATAAACCCCCATAGCATCATACTGCTTCATTATTTTTTGCAAAAGGTTAAGTAGCATCTCACAATCCAAGATCATTGTGATTTCTACATGTATGTTTTTGCCAGAAGTTTTTAGTAATTGCAAGTCACCAGCCACCTGTTGCAGATTTAATTTTTTAAATTAAAACACTGCTTTTTAACCTTAAAATTGAGTATAATCAATACTAAAATCTGTTTCTTTCTACACCACTCTAGTTTGTATTTTTTTAATCCAACTTTATAGTCTGTAATTTAAGGTGGACCTTATGAGGCAGATTTCAAACCTAAGTAAACAATTTGTGTAAATAACTGCTATAGCATCATTATTTTTCCTTTCATTTTAGTTTGCTTTGCCTTCCAATTAGAATCTGTAAATATATTTATTTCACAGTTTATATAATGCCCATCAGAATGACATCTATCTCGGTGCTTTATAGTTTTAAGACAATTTCAATACTAAAACACACAAATGAGATCAAGCCAAAAAGTGACAGAACAAAGCCACACCTTAAAACACTTTCTTATTTTTCTAAGACAAGCTAGAAAGAAAGCAACTCAGAAGAGCTTGAAGTGAAAGGTAATATCCATAATAGAATTTTACTGTATATTAACAGAGTATTTAATGCAGGGATCAGAAGGCTTTCAGAAATGCCATGCCTTTTATTTTGAAGGGGAAGTTAGCTGTTGTTAAGAGGGGCCTTGCTCTTAAACTAACTTTCAAGTAGTAGAGATAGAAGCTTGACAGCACACATGCTGGTGGTCACTTACGATTCTCCAACACTGATTTCTTTATTATTGTACTTAAAGTAGTAAAGAAAAAATATGATTACATCGTAGACTACTATTTAATAATTTGGGGGTGGATGGCCGGGTGCGGTGGCTCACGCCTGTAATCCTAGTACTTTGGTAGGCCGAGGCGGGAGGATTGCTTGAGCTCAAGAGTTCAAGACAAGCCTGAGCAAGAGTGAGACCCCATCTCTACAGAAAATAGAAAAATTAGCTGGACGTGGGGGTGTCCACCTGTAGTCCCAGCTACTTGGGAGGCTGAGAGGCAGGAGGATTGCTTGAGCCCAGGAGTTTGAGGTTGCTGTGAGCTGCAGTGATGCCACTGTACTCTAGCCGGGGCAACAGAGTGAGACTCTGTCTCCAGAAAAAAAATAAAAATAAAAAATAATTTGGGGAAAGTATAAAATAAGTAAGAAAAAGATTATAAAATATGATATACAAGTTCTCCATTTTGTAAATATGTATTTTATAAACTGTACCTATATTTTTACATCAAGATATTAGTATTGATTGCCTTTGGGTGGTAGAATCATGTAATTTGTTGTTGTTGTTTTTCCTTATAGCTATTTCTTAAACTTTTTTACAGTGAAATATACGTTGCTTTTAGAAAAATGTTATTGTTAGGTCAGGTGTGATTGCTTGAGCCCAGGAATTCGAGACCACCCTGGGCAACATAGGAAGACCCTGTCTCTTAAAAAAAAAAAAAAAAAGAAGGAAGGAAGGAAGAAAGGAAGAAAGAAAAAGAAAGGAAAAGAAAAAGAAAGAAAGAAAGAAAAATTAGCTGGGTGTGGTGTTGTGCACCTGTAGTCCTAGCTATTTGGAAGACTGAGGCTGAAGGATCCCTTGAGCCCAGGGATTCAAGGTGATAGTTAGCCATGATTGCGCTATTTCACTCTATCTAGCCTGGGTGACAGAATGAGACCCTGTCTCTTAAAAAAATGTTATTTTTAAAGCACTAATGACAATATTGAAGTAGTAATAGACAAAATTTATTTTCACTTTCCTGTTTTACGTACGAGAAGCCATTAGTAATCCTGGGAGAGAGGGAAAAGTATAATGCCTATGCTATAGGCTTTTATATTAATATATGAGACTTTATATTAATTTGTTCTTGGAATCTATGTTTCTTTCTTTCTCTCTCTCTCCTTCCTTCTTTCTTTCCTTCCTTCCTTCTATACAGGTATACAGAATATGTCAACAGTTTCAAACTTGTATTTATTTTATTAGATGAAAAATATTAATTTATCCTTTTAAAATCATTTATCTATATAGGCATTAATTCATGGACTAAACAGACATTATTACTCCATTACTATTAACTATCGGAAAAATGAACTGGAACAGAAGGTAAGTTTAAATTTTTATTTTGGAGGAGGGAAATTTTTTTCAAACCATTACCTGTTATATGATTTAAATTAGAATTGTTGACCTCTTCTGATGTTTCCAAATATTTTTCCATTCTTGGATGAATTGCAGCATAAAATAAAGGAGTTCTTTTTGGACATATTGAAAGATATATTTTACCATATTAGTAGATGCTAAAGTGGAAGAGGAAGTAGGAAATAAACATTCCAGTTTGGTTTTACAATAAATCATAGTAATATTTCTCTTAGTTCTGTGATTTTTCTGATTAATTTATCTTCTCCAATGAAATGCCTTTTTAGAATTACTAAATTTGAGAGGAATAAATTAAATTGTGTGTAGTACTTTTTAAAAACATACCCTGTTTACCTAGGGTAAATTAAAGGTGAGGCAAAGGGAAACATTTTTGTGTTTTCACATATTTTAAACCTAGGTATTTATCTCTTTTTATAACAAACAATTTTCAAATTTGATTACTTTTTAACATTACCTAGTATTTTAGTACGTTAGGATTCTTTTTGTTTGTTTTTATTCTTTTAGGATTATTTCGAGTACAGTTTTTTCTTTCAACTAATGGCAAATATTTAACTATGTTGTTTTTTGAAATTACAGTCTGGAGCACTTTTTCCCCCTTTACTATCACAATTAGTCATCCACCAAATTAGCTTCTTGTATTTCTCTGGGAAAGACTTTTTAATTTTTTTTTTTTTTTTTAAGAACATTAAGTTTACTGTTGATAGCCAGTTTTGGTTATTGAGTCCACTCTCAAGTCTGAAAGTGATAAGTAATCAGTAGAAAACAAGACCATTCTTGCTTTGAAACTGTCTCTCACAAAGGAGCCTTAGAGAAGGGGATTCTGGCATATGGCAAGCAGAGAGCAGAGTAAGTTGGGGCCTCTAGACCTACCTCCTCTTTCAACCAGATCACTTCCATTTGAATCTAATTTATATATTGGGGGAGGATGTGCAATATGATTTTCTTTGAAAGAAGAATTCTATTTTTGTTTTTTTAAGTTTGATAAACTTTTGTTTTAAAAGGTCAAAGCCACTTATAAACTCATCTGAAGGGCTCAGGTACTTGAGCATAGTGATGCATGAGGGGAACGGGAGACCCTGTGGAGCTCCTTCTAATTGCTACTTATATCCCAAAGTTTATTTCTGCTGTGATAAATTTAGTTAATTGCTTGAAGTCCATTTGCAACACTTATTTTTAATTTTACATAAAATGAGTTCAGGCTGTGAAAAAGGGCACTTCTTAGGTACAAACTGAAAATTCATTTAGATAAATTTAGATAAATATTTTATCGGTCATATCTGACATCCATCTATTTGGAAATATCCAGCTAATTGCATCAGTTTTCCTTTTTATGAGGGCTGGGGGAAGGTATTTCATAAACTTAGCCATTATCCTTGGTTTTTTTTTGAGACAGAGTCTTACTCTGTTGCCCCGGCTAGAGTGCCAGGGCGTCAGCCTAGCTCACAGCAACCTCAAACTCCTGGGCTCAAGCGATCCTCCTGCCTCAGCCTCCTGGGTAGCTGAGACTACAGGCACGTGCCACCGTGCCTGGCTAATTTTTCCTATTTTTAGTTGTTTGGCTAATTTCTTTCTATTTATAGTAGAGACGGGGTCTCACTCTTGCTCAGGCTGGTCTCGAACTCCCGAGCTCAAGCAGTCCTCTCACCTCGGCCTCTCAGAGTGCTAGGATTACAGGCGTGAGCCACTGCGCCCAGCCTTATCCTTGGTATTAAAAACATATATAAACATATTCATTCATGTTATGCTTCTGTTCTTAATCGCTAAGTTCAGCTGCATTCTTGGTAACAAAAGCCCTGCCTTTATTCTTATTCAGCCAACCTGTGTACTTAACCCCAAGCCTTACCTAAGGGTTCCAATGGAATCCTTGCCCAGGAATGGTGAGGAATATCCTGCTGCTCCTTGGAACTTTCATTGTTTGCTTTTGATGTGGTAGGGAAATCCAATTCTCAATACTTATTTATAGGTAGCTTTATAGCATAGGTAGTTGCAGCTTCACCAGAATTTCCCCAATGATCTATTTTCTAGAACAGTATCAGTGGGGAAGTTGGGAAGCAATCAAATTGGAGTCACCTGTATAAGGTTTTTCTAATTTTTTGGCGTACTATTCTTGCCCCTAGAGTCATAGAGGGGGAATGGAGGAATTCTTGACCCTGGGGCCATAGGAAGGGAAATGGGGGAGCTTTTGTGTCTTAAAAAGCCTCATAGGTGATTTTGACATGCAGCTGATTTTCCACCATAAGAAACAAGTAGGGTAATTTTTCTAAACTAAACCCATATACTTCCAAGTCCTCCAAGTATATCTTCAGATTCTCATGGCTCAGGCATCTCATTTAAAGTATACTCGTTCTAATGACAAAACAACAACAATCATTTTGTAGCCCCCATTTTTTGTCCACATTTAATAATTTCATCAATTATCAGAAGAAAAAAATAATGATAGTTCTTACTTGAAAATTTGTAGAGTAAGACTAGGAAAAACAGTCTTAAGATTATAAACTCGAAAACTTATGAACTTCCAAGAATACATACTCAGAACTCTGAGTCCACTTTGGGAAACATTGAACTAAGGTATCTAGTTTCGTTATCACTAGCTAATATAGGACCCTACCCCAATTTGCTGATGTGATTGCTAGCTAAATGAAGTCTTTGATTTACTTCTCAGCTTCATGGCTTTTCATTCTGACAGTAAAGAAGTTTTAAGTTTTTAAATTATAGATGGAATATTAGAATTTGAAAGAAACTTCGAGGTTGTGTGATACAAGCCCTCAAATCATAGATAAATTGAGGCTCAGAAAGATTGTCACAAGGTCGCTCAATAAATGGGGCATTTACCATCTAATCTTGACATTTGACACCTAGGCTATATGAAAAATCAGAGATCTGTATGTGACATAAGAATTTAATTTATTAATTAATGCAACAGATATTTATTGAGTGTCTTCTATGATTAGATACTGTTCTAGAATCTAGATCCTGGTTATCTTGAAATAAACAGGATAAAGTCCCTGCCCTCTTGATTTCCCCTTTAGTGGGACAGAAATGGGATAAACAGGTTAAGAGAAAAAAAGACTTGTTTAAGATAGTGTGGGGTGACTTTTAGTAGCTTTATAAGGAAAGGCATTTATCTCTAAGGAAGAGAGTAAAGTGAGTCATACAAATATGAGAATAGCCTTCTAGGTAGAAGGACAGCAAATACAAAGGCCATGCTTGGAGCACGCCTTAGGTTAGGTTATATTATTAGTAATATAAATTTAGGAGAATTCTAATTGGAGTTTATTTGAATTAATAAAATTAAATTTAAATTCATTAATTCCAAAATCTTTTTGTGAAGTGTTTTCTCAAGACAAGTAAAGGGAATATCCTCATGGCAGAAAAAGAGTTACTTTTTCTTTATATTTTTTAGATGTTGCTAAATTTGCATAAGAAGAGTTGGATGGAAGGTTTGACACTTCAGGACTACAGCGAACATTGTAAACACAATGAATCAGTGGTAAAAGAGATGTTGGAATTAGCCAAGAATTATAATAAGGTAAAAGTTGCTTCCAACATTTGTTTGTTATAATCTTTGGAATATGTATGATTAGATGCCAAGTATATAACATAGGCCTGTTTTGTAAATCAGATAGTGAATATTTTCATTATAGGCTATTCAATCTCTTGCAACTATTCACCTCTGCTGTTGTAGTGCAAAAGCAGCCATAGACAATATGTAAAGAAATAAATGTGTCTGGGTTCTATTGTAATAGGCAGCTGGCCACATTTGGCCCATGGGCTGAGTTTGCCAACCCCTGTTGTAGACCATGTAATACAACTGGACATTTGAAATCTCTTCATTTTTCAGGGGACTTTTTTGGGAAGGGAAGGGGAGTAGGGGGGCGTAGACAATGATAACAGCATTTTTTACTTGCTATGTATAATTTATTTTATGAACATTTCTGTTTTTTATTTAATAATTATTTATTGAAAATCTATGTGCCATGATGCACCAGGGATATGGTAAAAAACAAGAAATACAAGGTTCCTGTCCTCAAGAAACTTCCTTTTTGATATAGGAAACAGAAGATAAACAAAAAACACAACATAATACATTTTGATTTGTGCTATTAAAAAAAATAAACAGGATGATGTAAAGAAGAGTAAGTAGGGGAGATCACTTTATATGAGAATGTTAAAATAGTCATGTTTTGCAAAACCTCCTGAAAATGTTTATGGTGTGCTAAAATATGTATGGCCATGATAATATTTTTGCTCATAGATTTATGTTCTTTTTACAATTCTGAAATTTTGAAAAAAATTGAAATACGATAAAAGACATCTTCCATTTTGTGTTAGTTAAGTAGGACTACCATAGCAAACTACCATAAAATGGGTGGCTTAAAATAACAGAAATTTATTCTCTCATAGTTGTGGAGTCTAGAAGTCTAAAATCAAGGTGTTAGCTGGGCCATGCTCCCTCTGAATCCTGTAGGGAAAGGTTCTTCCTTGCCTCTTCCAGCTTTTGGTAGTCACAAGCATTCTCTGGCTTGGAGCAGCATAACTCCAATCTTTTACTGAAGTTAGGATTTCAGCATATCTTTTGGGGACACGATTCAACCCATAATATGTATTTTCCAACTTTTTAGACTAAAACCCACATAAAAGATAGGGTTTACATTGTGACCCAGTACATACAAATGTGTGCATATGTGTATATAATTGCAACAAAAGTTTTATAAAATAATATTTACCCTATTACATGTGATATATTCTATTTTCTTTCTCATTTGACTCTTTTTTCTTTCAGTTTTATATATATACAGTCACATATACATACAGATTGCAACCCACTAATGGGTTGAAAACCTGCAATTTGAAAAAACACATTTACACATTATACAGTGTTAAGTTTACAAATATTTATTGAACGTCTCTTGTGTAATTTGCAGTAGAAGATAGAGATCCTTGCTTCATTTATAGAAACATGGAACAGTAAGCTAAGGTAACCAGAGCACTTAGCAAAAATCTGTCTGTTCCATAGCAGGTTAATATTCAAATTGTCCACAGACTAGCTATATCAGCATCATCTGGGATTTTGTTAGAAATGCAGTCCCTCAGACCTGCTGACTCAGAATCTATATCTTAAGAAGATTTCCAGGAGACTTATATGCTCTTAAAGTTAGACATTAGAGACACACTGCCATAGAGAAGCCCATGTGAAATCCTATAGGGGTTCAGATGCTCTGACTTCAGCTGAGCAAGACCCAAATTGTCTTAGAGCAGCAGTCCCCAACCTTTCTGGCATGAGGGACCGGTTTCATGGAAGACAATTTTTCCAAGAACAGGGTGGGGGGTGGTTTGCGGATGATTCAAGTACATTACATCTGTTGGGCACTTTATTTCTAT